TCCCTGGTTGCCTTAGGAAGTGGTCAAACGGCCGCATTCCTGAGCTGATGGATTGGCGCGCTCCTTTCTTGCCTGAGCCCAGACAGTGTTTTTATGGGCCTGTCTCATGACAAGCTTGAGATGCTTTGAATCAAACAAAACCCGAGTTCACATCTCAAAAGCAGTCTTTACGTTCTGCTTTGCTGTGAGCGTGCTTCTAAGGGAAATTTAGTCTGAGTGGTGAAGGCCTGGCTGAGGTGCTGGGGGAACTTTCCCTGTCTGTGTGGAATCCCCAGAGGTGGACGTGGGTGTCACGCTGGGATGAGCTGTGCGTGTCAGAGCTTTGTGTTGTCTGGGTGTGTTTGTCCATTAACTCGTTCAGGAAGCCTTTGAAGCTTTATCTCACAATCCAAAGCAAACATGCTCTTGCTAATATGATCTATGCTACTGGGGATAAAAAATCTAATCTTATTAGCTTCCTCTGTTCTGCGTGTCTCTCCCTGGCCAATGGCTAAGCTGCACATTTAAATCCGAAGCTCGATTTGTGCTCCCACCCTTCAAAAGCTATGCCTGAGGGTTTAGGGTAGGGCCCACACCAGCCTGCAGCATCTCCTAGGGCTGAAGCACTGGTAAATGAAGCAGGATGGACGTGAGAAGTAATGAATCCCACCAGATGGGATCTGTTTCTCCCATCCATGCTGAGGTTTGGCAAAGCACTTGGATGCATGTGGACCTTAGAAAGCTTAGCTTCCTAAAGAGCTGTTTGACTCCAGCAGGTTTTGCTGTAGCTTGTGCCAACTCCAGCTTTGAGAGCACTCAGATCCTCTATGCCAGGACCCACATTTTGCTGTGGTGTCGCTGGGCAAACCTGCCCTGCCCAAGTGCCACGTCCCATGATGTAGAAATCTTCTGGTGGTGGGATGAAAGCGTTGAGTTGAGGTTCAGGGCCTTGTGCAAGGCAGGGGAAGCAGTCAGGAGGCAGCAGACAGCAAGCCGTGGCGACATGGGGCTGCTGGGATCTCCCCCCTTGCTGCCTTCATCCAGCAGCAGGCATCAGTGCTGCTGCCTGCTTCTGAGGCAGCAGGAGTGCCTTGCATGGTGCACACAGCCTTGAATTATATCCCCAAAGTAAACTGAACCCAGCGGATCAAAATGTGTGATGGTTCCCTGCTGGACGCTGTGAGCTCTGAGAGGCTGTAGTATGTGTTTGTTGTGAAATGGGCCTCTGTGGTGATGATTATTTTTGTTACAGACAGAATTGGCTTCAGTTTCTGTGTTGCAGGTCCAACAATAACAGTGAGCCCAGCTCTCCTGGGGTGAGGAAAATCCAGAGGGGTTTAGTCGGCAGGAAATTCAAGTAGGAGAACACTGTGCTCCTGTCCAAAAGTTTCAGAGCATGCTGATGAGCTGCGGAGCTGGGAAGCCCCACATGTGGGTGGAAGCTCCAGGGGCCTTGCTGCTATCTATGGGTCCCCTGAGTGCCGACTGCAACCTCTGTGGGAGTCTTCCCTGTGAGCATCCCTGATGTTCCCTTTCCACCCTTTTGGCTTGCTCATTGTCCTCTGGTGTAAGTCCCCTGTTGGAGCTGTGCTGTTCTTGTTGGGTTAGCCCCTAGTTGCAGGGATAGCCCAAGGTACCTGGTGGGCTGCAAGGAAGGAAGCCTTTGGGGGTTTCCCATCCCAACCCCAGCCCACTCTCACACAACCAGGAAGCGCTGAACCCTGCGGCATCCGCTGTGGAGCCTGCAGCCTGGCCATGGGCGCAGCCTCCCAGCCCTCTGCCACGCGGCTTGGCATGGCCCCAGCAGTTGGCTTTCAGGGCCCACGTTCTGCTTGCTGAGCAGCGGGATGTCCCACGCACCTGGCAGCCTCGGCTGATGCTTCAGAATTCAATTTTAATTTTATTAAGTGAATTTAGGGCTGGTGAAAGCTGCCAGAGCCCATTAGTGTTGGAGCACGTCTTGCTTCCAGAGCATACAGCCTGGGCAGTAGCCATGCTACTCACTTTTTTTCTTTTTTTTTTTTTTTTTTTAATTTTTGCACTGACTTGATGCATCAGTTTTAAAGGACAGATTTATGCAGAAGCTTGGACCTCTGCTGAGTGCACAACAGACCTGGTTTTATATAGGAAGTCGGTGCTTGGCACGTCTGCTGAGACAAACCCTTTGTCTATCAGTGGGCGCAGTGATGGATTTTTTTGTTGCAGGTGTTTGTCTGCTAGATACCAGTGAATCAATAGAAAGAAAAGCCCAACAGAACAATTACAGAGATATTAGTCATTTTACCTCTTCAGGTGACTCTAAGAAGCCTGTTTCCCTGCTATGCAATTGCCCACCTCCTAGGCAGTGCTGCATGTGGGTGAGATGTAGCTCTCCTTGTTAACAGGGAGCTTCTCTGGGGGGGCGAATGCGGGGTGAAATCTGCTCCTCTAAAAGGCTGAGAAGCTTTCCTGCGGGTGGAAGGCTGCAGAAAGATGGTGATGTTTTCCTGGTAGTATCTAAATGTGTGTTAGACAAGATAGGTCTTCCTATCTGCTCAGTTATCTCACCTACTCATCCCATTTTGCTGTCGGGGCCACAGAAGGAGGGTTCTGGCTCTGCTCCCTCTCACCTTGGCACCTGAGCAATGAGCTGACCTGAAATCAGGATCAAGCCTGAGGACTTCCTTAGCGTGATCCTGCTGAGCTGTGGTGGCCTCACAGGGCAAGGGGAGAGATTTTAGCATCAGGGTGTCTGCTACTGAGTGTAACTGTCAGGAAAGAGCCGGCGCCTGGTCCCTTGTTCACATTGCAGTTCCCCCCGACTGGCTGGATCGCGATGTGTGCTTGTAGTACCCGGCACGAGGAAGGGGCTCACAGCTTCAGAGCGGTGGGTGATGTTGGTGGTATCAGCCTAGCGGGTAGCATGTGTGTGAAAGCAGGGGAGACAGGGAGGGGATGACGAGGTGTGGAAGGATTGACTGTATTTTCATGGCTTCGAGACTTTGCCCTTTCCAAGAAAAATAATCTGCAGCTTGAATATTTCTCTTTGCTGGAGGGGGTGGACATGTGTGCAAACGAGGTGTGAATTTTTAGGAAAAGGTGTGAAAGTGCGTACATGAGTGAAGTGTGAATTACACGTCTATTTGTACGTTGATGTCAACAAGTCCTTGATTTTCTTCCTTCCACGTGAGTCTCTCTCCAATCCCCCCTCCCCCCAAACCCACACAGACACGTGTGTGGGCAAATATGCTTTGCTAAGAGAAGGGGTTTGTGCAAAACCGTTGGTTTGTAAATGTTTGTGTGTTGAGCAGGCGCTCCTGTGGAACAAAACCAGATGTTTTTTGGTATTCTCAGCTCCTCCGTGGCAGCTTTGCAATTTTTTCCCTTCATATTTTTCAGGATTCTTACAGGATTATTTTAAGAAAACGACAGGGCTGCAGAGATGCCTCTGGGTGTGTGAGAAGAAAGTTATTTTAAAGAATGAATGTGTTAGAGGGCACAAAAAACATAGAGGAAATGGAGGCAGAGCTTTCTCATAGTGAAGGAAGCCTGGTTCCTGTGGGGCAGCCAGAGCCCAGGAGGACCTTCCTGCTGCTTCTGCACAGCATTCGCCCCTTCTGCAGGGTGCGTGTAGGCAGCAGGGCTATTTCTCCAGGAGGCATCGCCTTGCTTTTTCTCCTTATGTTGCCAGATGTCCTTGCCCGGGCTGCAGGAAAGCCCACCCACACCCTGCTGGGATGGAAAGACTATGGGACAGCCCGTTGGAAGGAGGACAGCCCTTCCCCTTCACCCCTTCCTTTATGGTCCCTCTGTCTGGCTTTCCCCCCACTGCAGAGGCCCCAGTGTGGATGGGTGTACGTGAAGGTTTGTGTCCCATGTTTCACCCCATTGCTCATGGGATGGGAGGGTAGAGCCTGTCAGCACAAGACTGGGGTCAGCAGGGCAGTGCCGGCCCCGCTGCTTCCCTGGCTGGCTGCTCTGTGGAGGGGCCGCAGGGTTTGGCTGGATTTCACCCATTTTGCTGAGCAGGAGCAGGCATTGCCATCATCTGGAGACATCTGTGGGGCCATGATGCTTGGACAGGGGGGTGGCAGTGGGGAGGCACGCAATGGGGCCCCATGGAGAAAGGGACTTTGTTGAGATTTGTAGTGTGTTATCAATTGACCCTGTGATGCAGATTTTCCTCCCAGCAAGTAATGCAATAATAAATTTGATTTGCAGCGTTCATGAGATTAAATGTTTTTTTGAAGATGAAATCACCCTCCAGGGCCTGTTCTAACCCAAAGCTGGGAATTCTCCCTCTGCTTGCCCTGTAATTGTTGCCAGCTATTTGTGGGCTAGCCCCACAAAACCACTGCTGATTATCAGTCTGCAATTCCAACAGCTTGGGTTGACCAAAAGATTTGGGAAGGAAGAGGTGGCCTGTCTGCTGAGATGGGGTCATGGCTGCTGTGGGCGAGAGGGAGGCAAGTGGGGAAGGGCTGTCAAACAGTTCCTTGCTGGAGCCAGGAGGGCAGGACACCGTCCTCACCTCTGCTACCAGCCATGGACCTGCTGCTCAGCTCTGCTTTGCCTCAGTGCCCTTCCCTGGAAGCAGCAAAGCACTCTGCAGCTGCACTGAGGGTCAACTGTGTCCAAACTTTGGTGCCTCTCGAGATGCCTGTGGGAGGCTGCCATGGAGCAGGTTGCGAAGGAAGATATGAAATGAGGCAGCTCCAGATAATGTGATACCAATCTGTCTCTTACTTTATAGCTCTGTAATTGCCTAGGCAAGGGCATTTGTTTCTGTTTTCTGGTCTGTGTGAAATGTGGCATGTAAGTGTGGCAGGAAGTGGAAGGAGAAGGGAGTAGGTTTCTTGTGTAGAATAATGTCTTCAAGCCCAGAGGTTGATACTGAAATAGTAAGGCGCCAACCTGGCATCAGAAGGCTGGAGAGTGGCCTTTATCAGACCACCACCACCCATGGCCCACAGGGACCTGCTGTCTGTAGCCAGTGTCCCAAACCTGTTTTTAATGCCTCGTTCCCTTCCTTGTCTCTGCAGCTCAGCCGTGTGGGGGCCGCCTCAACTCCAAGGATGCCGGGTACATCACCTCCCCAGGCTACCCCAATGACTACCCCTCCCACCAGAACTGCGAGTGGGTCATCTATGCTCCTGAGCCCAACCAGAAGATTATCCTCAACTTCAACCCTCACTTTGAAATCGAGAAGCATGATTGCAAGTAAGAACCTTCCTCTTCTTCACTAGTACGCTGTTATCTTGCTTTCATGTAGCGGTATGGACGTGGTGCTCCTTTGTGCATGTAAGCAAGCATCAGCCTGAGCCTCCATGGTGCTGTACTGTGTGTCATGGCCTTTCAGGGCAGGTGTGCCTCTGTCGATGGGTGGGTTTAAGATGCTTCTTTAGACTCAGAGGATGAGCATACACTGTTCTAGGCTGAAATATTCTAGGCTGAAATCATCTGAAAGCAAGAGCTTTCAGCCTGAGTCTGACTTCAGTTAGAAGGCAGCCTGGGTTTTTTTTCTGTGTTGCAGTGGCTTCACCTTTAAGCCATGCTGAGGGAACAGTGCAATTTCCTGTTGGGTAACTAGGCAGAGGCATGGCAAGGAGAACCCAAGGGCTGGTGACCTGGGCTTGGGCTTAGCTGAATCTGATTCTCCACAGTGTTTGTTCTACTGGGTTTAGTAATCAGGGATATTGGTTTTGTTTGCTTTTCTTTTTCCCCTAAGAGGGGGCTCAGAAACTATACGTCCAGGAAAAACAATTAGCAGCTAGTAAAGAATAATTAACAGCATCAAAGGGCACCATAAAAGGCTGAGTTAATAACATGGTCTCGGCAGACTTATAAACCTGTGCATTTCAACTGGAATCTGTGGCCAGCTGCAGGGATGTCTGAGCTGTGAAGGAGCTCAGTCTCCTAAAGCAGGCAAAACTGATGCAGCAGTTTTGCTAGGCATGCTGCTCCTGTTGATTAAAAGGAAGTTATATATGGAGAGCAGGACTCTGGTTGCAAAAAGGGTCTGGGGAAGCATTTATGGGGCTGTAGGATTGGTCCTGTGGAGAATAAAGAATTCAGCATGGGTTTCATGATGTACTGAAAGATATAATGCGCAGATCTGGATCCTCAGCTACTGTAAATCAGCATAGGTCCTCTAACTGTAACCAAGGTGTGCTGATTGATGTCACTGGGGATCTCATCACCCCCTAAAGATAAAGCCTAGGCTAATAACGTTCTGAGCACCATCAACTCTCCGTGAAGTCACTCTGTGTGTAAGGAGTTTAGCACTTTGCAGGATCAGGCCTGCATTTAGAGAAGGGAGACAGTGGAGAAAGGCTTAACATGGGCATAAATGAATACAGCAAGGCCTTGGCAGTGCTCGTGAGAATGATGGTTGCTATCAGGTTTTACTATTGCTTGGACAGGCTTAACTGTATAGCCTTCTCACAGCTCATGCAGTTGCCCCAAATTCAGAGTAATAAAAGCTTCATAGGCCTATGTTCTCAGACTGCAGAGCATGCAATATGTATTGGCAGGGCAATGTGCACGGGGCAGGGGCTGAGCTGGGCAGGAGTGACTGTGTCTCTCCAAGGTCTCAGGCTAGCAAATCTGGGTCAGTCAGAGTGCCAGAAATCTTCAAGGGCACCTGGTTTTCCTCTGCAATTGTGCAGTTGTTGCTTACAGCTCTGAGTACTTTGGACAACTTCTGCTGCATTTTGGTGCCTGTGAGAGAGCAGGGTCTGGTCCTGAGCTCAGGTGCTGTGTGCTGGAAGGGTGACCCCAACCACTGAAGTAATTGCTCCACTGCAGCTTTCTGCTTTGTTTTAGTAAATGTCTGAGTGAGTGCTGTGGTACTATGCTTTCCCTTTGCCGTGTGTACATGGAGGAGCTTTGCAGGAAGGTTCGTGTTGGAGGGTTTTTGTTTCCAGCATTCTCCATAGGACATGAATGGTGGAAGTTTTCTCAAGGTCTTTGATTCAGTTTTGCTCCTGCAACAGTATTGCTCTCTAGGAACCAGGAATTCATATCTCTGTTGGAAGTGTGGTTTGCTTGCACCTCTGTTCCCTCAGCTGCCACGTGTGTACAAGTGTGAGACAAGGTTCATCCACAGTGCACCTGGGCCTTTGCTGACCCCCAGGTGTAAGCCAGAAGCCAGCAGTTCAGTTGCCTGTCCCCCACAGCAGGCATTGCAAAGGATGGACAGTGCCTGGTAGGGACTGTGACTAAATCTGTGAAAATAATGCAAGAAAAACACTACCTAAAAAGAACAGGTAGGAGGGAGACTTTTTGTTTTTAAGTGTCCTATCAGAAAGAGAGAAATCTTAACACTGTGTAATTGCCTGGACATTAAGTAGCATTAGCAGATGACCATCGCATAATAAATCTCATCTGAGTGTCAGAGGGTGTGTTACAAGGACGCAAAGGTCTCATTGCAGCTGCAGGTGGGAATCTTAATGGGACCAGGAGTTCAGCATCAAAGAAACAGCATCTCAGGGCCTTTCTTCTGACATCTGGTCATTTAATAAAAGCACTTTCTCTGAAGGATGGCAGCCGATGGACTGACTGGCACTCAGTCTCTCAGCAGACACAGTCCCCCTGGCCTGGTGTTGCTACCTGGCAGCTCATGGAGCGGGAGCAGGGCCAGGCTGTGCTTCGTGCTCCAGCTGCCAGGAGTAAACAAAACACCACAAGCGCTTCCTTTGTTGCTTCATCCTTCGACATTTCTTTTACCTTATTAGGCTAAAGTTTCTTCCTTGTGAAGCATAACATTTACATTCCAAAAGCCTGTTTTAAGGCGTATGAAACTATCTGCAAAAATCTTCATCCTTGAATCAGATGTAGGCTTCCCTTTGGGGCAGGAGGCGCTTCCTGCCATGCTCTGCACCCTTGGGACCTACACGGCAAGGTCAGTGACTTCCTCTGGCCAGGCAGCTGGCCGGAAGGGGTTGCAGACCTGTGGTTGCCAGACATCGGAGTGAGAGCGGCCTGTGTGCAGCAGGGTCTGGTGGATGGTGCTGCTCAGAGAGAAGGAGCCCAGGCTAGGGCTGGGTGCCCGGAGGTGGCAGTGACAGGCAGCTCGGTTGGCGCTCATTACATTGCTATTGTTTCTCCAGAAACACATCTGGGCTTTTATTTTTTGGCTGTGTCCAGCTGCATTAAGAAGTAACTGCATCCCCCAGCTGTCATCAAAGGAGTAATTGATATAATTGAAGGCCCAGAAGATACTCTCTATCTCTGTGTTTCATCTGTGCTCTGAGGAAGTGCCTTACTTTGGGAAACGCTTTAGATAAAGAAGACTGGCCACCTCCTGCACTTGCAGCTCCTGGTATCAGTCACAGTAGGGCTCCTGTTGCAGGAGGGTGGATGTGCTGGGGGGGCAGGCCCTGGGCCATGCTCCCCCTGTCCTGCATCCATGGGGACACAGTGTGGCAGCAGGGACAAAAAGGAAGCTGAGCACTGTGGTGAGAGGACTGCCTAGCATCCAGAAATAGTAACAGCCCTATCCCCTTGCCGTTTCTTCCTGTGCACTGTGAGCACAGCTCAGGTGGGGCAGTGGGTGTGTGCTCCCTAAATGGGGAGGTGGCAGCCAGGGGAAAAGTGTGCTGCTTCTGCAAAGGGGGTTCAGCTCTGCCACATGGCATGGTAATACCTGGGCAGCCTTGTGTCTACCATAGCTCTGCATGTGGCAGGGGGGTTGGAGATTCTTGATCCTTGAGGTCCCTTCCATTCTGTGATTCTGTGGTTTATTTTTAATCCCGGGATTGACCCAAACAGAGTTTCCCAGTGTGCAGTAGAAACCACCCCAGCTCGCCCAGACATGCAACCCTCCTGCCCAGTTGCCATTTCTCTGTCTGTGCTGCTTACTTGGAAAATCCAAGTCAGAAACTCAGCTCTGAATGAATCATCGCCTCTATAACTACCTTTTCCATCTGTGTCCCTCCCATTGCTAGAGATGTCTCTTGGCCTCTGATAGCTCCCAAGCCTGGCTATGGGTTCTGCCATCCCGACTACAAGGCAGGTTGGGCAGTGACACACTGGGTACTGGGACATGGCTGTGTGCACGTGGCACAGACACATGCTGTGCATCACAGCGGGCAGGCATGGGCTCCAGATGCCAGCAGAAGACCTTTGGGCTGAGTCATAGCATCTGCACCAGAGGAGCGCTTTGTATTGAAAAGCCTGAGCCACAGGCAAGCCACATCGGTGGGATTTTGGAACCCTTCTGCCAGGCACCCAAGGGAAGGGTGGAAGGATGCTGCTGGGGCTGCGGTTCTCTGCCTGGGCAGGTTTTGGGGCTGCTGGTGCAGCTCGCAGCCCCCTCTGGTGGCGCTCACCAAATGCTGGCAGAGGGCTCTGGAGGTGGGCTCCAAAAACAAGCAAGAGGTGGCAAATGGCAGGCAGCCCAGAGCTGTAGAGTCAAGCTCTTCTTCTTTGTGCTGGCTCACCATGTCAGGCCTTGAGGGTTTCCAGAAAAAGGAACTGCGACCACAGTAAGGAGGAAATCTGTGTAGTTGTCATTGCAGCCTGATATGGTGATGTCAAGTGAAAAAGGCCATGTTCAGCATGACCAGGCAGATGCAGCTGGAGAGGCAGGGCACAGGGGCTGGGGCTGGCATGGGAAGATGTCACATGCCAGTGGCCATGTCTTGGAGCTGGCAGCAATGCACCAATGCTCCCAAGGCACGTTGCAGTGGGACATGGTGGGCACAGCCAGTCAGCAGTGGCCCTGTGGCAGCATGCCATCTCCTGTGCTTCCAGGAATGGGACGCGTGGATGCAGCACGGCTCCATGTCCTTCTTAGAGAGCAGCCAGGCACTTGGCCCCGGCCCCACACGCAGTGGGGAAGCAGCAGCCAACCCCTGGCACCCCAGGAATGCCGCCAGGCCCTGCCCTGCTGGCCTGCCTCTCCTGATCATTTCCTTCAAACAGGAGCATGATATTGCAAGATGCCCTTCTTCCATCAGCCAGGGTTAAGAGCAGACAAGGCAGCAATTATGGACAACTAATTAGGGAATGCTTTTGAAAAGTTTGCATAATAAGCTCATTAGTAAACACTTTAGAAACAATGCAGTTCATCTCCAGATTGGGTGGATGCTTAGAAAAGAGAAATTTGGCACACTGCGCCTGTTTGAAGGGGGGGTCTTCACTGGGGTGCAGTGGGAAGTGAGTGCCTCTCCTGCAATGCTGAAGCAGGCGGGCCGAGGCTCTGCAGAGAGGAAGTC